AGGAGATTAGGAGGCTGAAGGTCCACCTCAATGGGTCTGGGAGAGAGTGTGAGGTGGCTGGAGTTGTGGGGAATGAGGCTTCTAGCAGTGAGGTGCAGTCTGTCTCTCGCTGTGAGGAGGCTGTAGTTGGGGAGGTAGCAATGGCTACCAGCAGTGAGGTGCAGTCCAGCACCTGCTACAAGTGGCGAGTGGTTCACAGTAATGGAAGGCGCATCAGAGTAAGGAAAGTTAAGAGTGAAGATCTGAAGGTAGGAAATCGCTTCTCTGTTCTTCAGGATGAATGTACTTCAGTGGCCAGTGAAGGTAAGGGTACTACTGCCCCTGCTAATGGAGGTAAGCGCATTCTTGTGGTTGGTGACTCTCAGGTAAGATACATTGACCGTGCTTTTTGTAATAGGAATAAGAAGATGAGAGATAGAGTGTGCTTCCCTGGAGCTGGTGTTGGGGACATTGTCAACAGGCTGGATAATATCATGTCAGGTAATGGGAACAAGCCCATTATCTGTCTCAGTGCTGGTGGAAATGATATTGGGAAGGGTAGGAGAGAAGAGCTGCTAGATAAGTACAGGTCAGCTATAGATTTCATTAAGTCTAAGGGAGGGATCCCAATCATATGTAGCATTTTGCCTAGAAGGGGAGTAGGAAATGAATGGTTGTCTAGGGCAATTGGTGTAAATTGCTGGCTAGACAGATACTGCAAGGAACTTGCAATCCCATTCATTGACAACTGGAACAACTTTTATGGCAAACATGATATGTATGCAAGGGATGGGGTACATCTCTCTGGGGCTGGGGTGGTAGCACTTGCAGACTCGATTGAGAAGGCCATTGGTGAAATGCCTATGATTTTAAACTGATGGAAGATAGAGGTATGGGTATGTGTGGGAAACAAGCAGGTTGCAACACTTGGGTTGGAAACAGTAAATGTATAAAAGGCATTCAGCATGAAGTTATCAATAAAGACAATAGATCAGGTCAGCAAACAAAGGGGGACAGCAGAGGGCAGCAAGGGACTAGCTCCCTTAAGGTTTACTATACTAATAGCAGGAGTGTAAGAAATAAGGTAGATGAGCTAAGATTAATTGCAAGTGCAGGAAACATAGATATTATTGCTATAACAGAGACCTGGCTCAATCTGAAAGATAGAGAGATGCCCTCTGAATGTCACATACAAGGCTATAAATTATTCCACACTGACAGGGTCAACAGGAAAGGTGGTGGAGTAGCGATGTATGTCAGAGACAATTTAAATTGTTGTGTTAGACAAGATATTAAATTAGAAGCGTCAGATACTGAATCTGTTTGGTTACAGCTTCTCGAGGGCCGAGAAAAACTAATTTTGGGTGTGATTTACAGGGCCCCAAATCTTGATAGGGAGTGCAGTAAACTTCTATGGGACGAAATTCGTAAGGTATCTACATACGAAAATGTTGTGCTAATGGGAGATTTCAACTATAGACAGATTGACTGGAGCAATTTGACAGGAAATTTAGAGTCAGGTGACTTTCTTGATACGATCCAGGATTGTTTTTTAAAACAGTTTGTGACAGAGCCAACTAGGGGAAATAACCTCCTTGACTTGGTTCTTGCCAGTAGGGAAACACTAATTAATAATCTTGAGGTTAATGATGAGCTTGGGGAAAGTGATCACAAATCACTCAGTTTTAATATATCATGGAATTCCCCTAATAATGGCAATCAAGTCTCCGTCCCTGACTTTCGCTTGGCTGATTTCATAGGACTGAAAAATTACTTAGGTGGGCTGAACTGGAATGACCTGACTAAGGGTCAGGTAGGTGGTGATGGTTGCCGATATGATGCTTTCCAGGGCATAGTTCTAGCTGCTCAGTCAAATTATGTTCCAAATAGGGAAATCAGATCAAACAAAAATGATCCTAAATGGATGAACAATAGATTAAAATATTTGATTGGTCAAAAGAGAGGCATATATAGGCAAATCAAAAGAGGAGAGGGGCAATTAAGAAATCGATATATTCAGTTAAAGAGAGAAATAAAAAAGGGAATTAGAAAAGCAAAAAGAGATTATGAGGTTAAAGTTGCAAGAGAATCGAAGACTAACCCAAAAGGATTCTTTCAGGTATACAGAAGTAAGATCAGGGACAAGATAGGCCCACTCAAAAGTTCCTCGGGTCAGCTCACTGACAGTGATAAGGAAATGTGTAGAATTTTTAACACATACTTCCTCTCAGTTTTTTTTACACAGGAGGATACCAGCGATATTCCAGAAATGATAAATTATGTAGAACAGGGCGATAATAAACTGTGCACTATTAGGGTCACAAGTGACATGGTCCTTAGGCAAATAGATAAATTAAAACCTAACAAATCCCCAGGCCCTGATGAACTGTATGCAAGGGTTCTAAAGGAATGTAAAGAGGAGCTTAGCACACCTTTGGCTAATCTTTTCAACATATCACTACAAACTGGCATTGTGCCAGATAAGTGGAAAATGGCAAATGTGATACCTATTTTCAGAACAGGTGACAGGTCCTTAGCTTCGAACTATAGACCAATAAGCCTAACCTCCATAGTGGGAAAATTTATGGAATCAATAATTGCCGAGGCAGTTCGTAGCCACCTTGAAAAGCATAAATTAATCAACGAATCTCAGCATGGTTTTACAAAGGGGCGTTCCTGCCTTACGAATTTATTAACTTTTTTCACTAAGGTATTTGAGGAGGTAGATCATGGTAATGAATATGATATTGTGTATATGGACTTCAGTAAGGCTTTTGACAGGGTCCCACATCAGAGACTATTGAGGAAAATTAAAGCACATGGAATAGGAGGAGAGATTTTTTCCTGGATAGAGGCATGGTTGACAAATAGGCAGCAGAGAGTTTGCATAAATGGGGAGAAATCAGAGTGGGGAAGCGTCACGAGCGGTGTTCCACAGGGGTCAGTGTTGGGCCCCCCTGCTGTTCACAATCTACATAAACGACATAGATGAGGGCATAAAGAGCGACATCGGCAAGTTTGCCGATGACACCAAAATAGGCCGTCGAATTCATTCTGACGAGGACATTCGAGCACTCCAGGAAGATTTGAATAGACTGATGCAGTGGTCGGAGAAGTGGCAGATGCAGTTTAGTATAGACAAATGCAAAGTTCTAAATGTTGGACAGGACAATAACCATGCCACATATAAACTAAATAATGTAGATCTTAATATTACGGATTGCGAAAAAGATTTAGGAGTTCTGGTTAGCAGTAATCTGAAACCAAGACAACAGTGCATAAGTGTTCGCAATAAAGCTAATAGAATCCTTGGCTTCATATCAAGAAGCATAAATAATAGGAGTCCTCAGGTTGTTCTTCAACTCTATACATCCTTGGTTAGGCCTCATTTAGATTATGCTGCACAGTTTTGGTCACCGTATTACAGAATGGATATAAATTCTCTGGAAAATGTACAAAGGAGGATGACAAAGTTGATCCCATGTATCAGAAACCTTCCCTATGAGGATAGACTAAGGGCCCTGAAACTGCACTCTCTAGAAAGACGTAGAATTAGGGGGGATATGATTGAGGTGTATAAATGGAAGACAGGTATAAATAAAGGGGATGTAAATAGTGTGCTGAAAATATCTAGCCTAGACAGGACTCGCAGCAATGGTTTTAAGTTGGAAAAAATTCAGATTCAGGAAGGATATAGGAAAGTACTGGTTTGGTAATAGAGTTGTGGATGAGTGGAACAAACTCCCAAGTACCGTTATAGAGGCCAGAACGTTGTGTAGCTTTAAAAATAGGTTGGATAAATACATGAGTATATGTGGGTGGGTGTGAGTTAGACCTGATAGCTTGTGCTACCAGGTCGGTTGCCGTGTTCCTCCCTTAAGTCAATGTGACCTGACCTGACTAGGTTGGGTGCATTGGCTTAAGCCGGTAGGAGACTTGGACCTGCCTCGCATGGGCCAGTAGGCCTTCTGCAGTGTTCCATCGTTCTTATGTTCTTATGTTCTTATGAGTGGGTGTGATCTGGACCAGACTAGCTTGTGCTAATAGGTCTAACGCCGTGTTCCTTAAGTGGATGTGACCTGACCTGACTAGATGGATCATTGGCCTTGCATGGGCCAGTAGGCCTGCTGCAGTGTTCCTTCTTTCTTATGTTAAGCTGTGAAAACACGTACCCTGCACATTTGCCCTCACCTTCAGACACAGTTGAGGATGATTATAAAGTAATTACATCTTGGACTTCCTTGTACTTCAGTAGTTCCTCCAGAGTGTTATTGTTCTTATACTGCATTTTGCTTGTCAAAATCACTTACTCCCGTCTAGTAACACAGAAATAACCCCTCACCACCCCTTTGGGGTAGTTCCCAGAAATTATTGTTCTTATTGCATATTAGCTAGTCAGGATTACTTACTCCGTCTTAGTAACAGAAATAACCATCATTACCCTTTTGGGGGATGATTAAGTAATTATTGGGTATTGATGAACTCATGTACTGACTACATTATCTCAGACATCTGCCTTCTAATTATCGATCAATGAACCCTGTGCTGTTTCGAGTTAGATTATGTCTACTAACGTATAGTCTGCCAATCCTGCCTTAGCGACCAGGTCAGGCGTTTCTCAAGGACACAATGCTCACTTAGATAAGAAATAACTCATTTCCATCTAATAATTTTGTCACTTTCTAATTAGTCAATCTGCTTTAGAATTCGCTTACAAGGAAACTCTTTTTAACCTCGATTTTTCATGGGCTTATGACAGTCAATTTACTGTACACATTATGGAAGCTCTATCTTGGAGAAATTGAGTTACCTATAATAATCTAATTGTAATCCCTTCAGCATAATATTCGCACTAAAGTGGTCAGTGAGTTTCTTATATCCACATGTCTCACTTGTCTTTAGTTTATTTCGGTTACTGTGAAGCGATACACATTTACGCCTTAATGTTCAATACCTGTTACCTCTCTGTGCGCATGTCAAATTAGTGGTTGTATTAATAAATGCCTTGTACAAGACAACTCACAATCTCAAAAGTCTTTATTATTAGTTTATCGTAGTGACATAAACCAGTGCAAGCATTGCATGTTGATATCTGTAATATATTAGATAGGTAGACGCAAGAATGCCGAAGCAAGCAGCCGACGACAGGGTTCTAGCCACGGAGCCATCTTGAGCAACCAGAGTTTCAAACTCTCCCATCCTCAACTCTGTCATCTTCGATGTTGGCGCCGCTGTGCTGCAGCGGCTGCCTCAGTGGTCGCCAGGGACCATCTACTCGTCCCGGTGCCAGTAGTTGTATATGAGGAGGATGAGGTCGAGGGGCTGGACCAGGCAAGGATACTCGTCCTGACAGTCCTCTCCATTCTCGTCGCCGTACCTCGCCGCCGCTTCGAACTCCGTTATCTCCCTTAACGGTACGTTGCGCCCCGGGGACCTGAGGAATATGATTTTTTTTTGATGAACATTAACTTGTTTTATCTCGAGTACTTCTGATCTTGGATTCAGCAAAAGAGTTTAACAATCTATTACCTTAATTTACTTGCCCAGTGTTTTATGAGTAATTAAACAATATATATATATTTGATGTATTTTATATATATATATATATATATATATATATATATATATATATATATATATATATATATATATATATATATATATATATATATATATATATATTATTTATTTATATTTATATATTGTAATAGTAGGTTGGTAGACAGCAACCACCCAGGGGGTACTACCATCCTGCCAAGTGAGTATAAAACGAAAGCCTGTAATTGTTTTACATGATGGTAGGATTGCTGGTGTCTTTTGTCTGTCTCATAAATATGCAAGATTACAGGTACGTCTTGCTACTTCTGCTTACACTTAGGTCACACTACACATACATGTACATGTTTATACACACTCATCTGAGTTTTCTTTGATTTTATCTTAATAGTTCTTGGTCTTATTACTTTTTCTTTTATATCCATGGGGAAGTGGAATAAGAATCTTTCCTCCGTAAGCCATGCGTGTTGTAAAAGTCAACTAAAATGCCGGGAGCAATGGGCTAGTAACCCCTTTTCCTGTAATCATTACTAAAAAGAGTAAGAAGAAAATTGTCAAATTGGGAAGTCTGAATTTGCGTGGATGTTGTGCAAATGATAAGAGATGATTGTGGATGTTATGAATGAGAAGAAGCTGGATGTCCTGGCTTTAAGTGAAACAAAGCTGAAGGGGCTGGGAGAGTTTCAGTGGAGAGGAATAAATTGGATTAGGCCAGGGGTTTCAAACAGAGTTAGAGCTAAGTAAGGAGTAGCAATAATGTTGAAGGATAAGTTATGGCAGGAAAAGAGGGACTATAAATGTATTAATTCAAAGATTATGTGGAGTAAAATAATGGTTGGATGTGAAAAGTGGGTTATAGTAAGCGTATATGCACCTGGAGAAGAGAGACGTGTAGAGGAGAGAGAGAGATTTGGGGAAATGTTGAGTGAATGTGTGGGGAGTTTTGAACCAAATGTGAGAGTAATGGTGGTTGGGGATTTCGATGCTTAAGTGGGCAAAAATGTTGTGGAGGGAGTAGTAGTTAAATTTGGGGTGCCAGGGGTAAATGAAAATGGGAAGCCTTTAATTGAGCTATGTGTAGAAAGAAGTTTGGTAATAAGTAATACATATTTTATGAAGAGGCTAAATAAATATACAGGGTATGATATAGCACGTAATGAAAGTAGTTTGTTAGATTATGTATTGGTGGATAAAAGGTTGATGGGTAGGCTCCAGGATGTACACGTTTATAGTGGGGCAACTGATATATCGGATCATTATTTAGTTGTAGCTACAGTTAGAGTAAGAGGTAGATGGGAAAAGAGGAAAATGGCAACAACAAGCAAGAGGGAGGTGAAAGTGTATAAACTAAGGGAGGAGGAAGTTCAGGTGATATATAAGCAATTATTGGCAGAAAGGTGGGCTGGTGCAAGTATGAGTAGTGACGGGGGGGGGGGGTTGAAGAGGGTTGGAATAGTTTTAAAAATGCAGTATTAGAATGTGGGGCAGAAGTTCGTGGTTATAGGAGGGTGGGTGCAGGAGGAAAGAGGAGTAATTGGTGGAATGATGAAGTAAACGGAGTGATAAAAGAGAAAAAGTTAGCTTATGAGAGGTTTTTACAAAGCAGAAGTGTTATAAGAAGAGCAGAGTATATGGAGAGTAAAAAAAGGTGAAGAGAGTGGTGAGAGAGTGCAAAAGGAGAGCAGATGATAGTGGGAGAGGCACTATCAAGAAATTTTAAAGAAAATAAGAAAAAAAATTGGAGTGAGTTAAACAAGTTAAGAAAGCCTAGAGAACGAATGGATTTGTCAGTTAAAACAGATTAGGAGAGCTAGTTGGTGGGGAGATGGAGGTTTTGGGTAGATGGCGAGAATATTTTGAGGAACTTTTAAATGTCGACGAAGAAAGGGAAGCGGTAATTTCATGCACTGGCCAGGGAGGTATACCATCTTTTAGGAGCGAAGAAGAACAGGATATGAGTGTGGGGGAGGTGCGTGAGGCATTATGTAGAATGAAAGGGGGTAAAGCAGCTGGAACTGATGGGATCATGACAGAAATGTTAAAAGCAGGGGGGGATATGAAGTGTTGGAGTGGTTGGTATTTTTGTTTAATAAATGTATGAAAGAGGGAAAGGTACCTAGAGATTGGCGGAGAGCATGTATATATATGTACATAAAGGGAAGGGGGACAAAAGAGATTGTAAAGATTATAGAGGAATAAGTTTACTGAGTATACCAGGAAAATTGTATGGTAGGGTTATAATTGAAAGAATTAGAGGTAAGACAGAATGTAGGATTGCGGACAAGCAATCCTACATTCAGAGTGGGTAGGGGATGTGTAGATCAAGTGTTTACATTGAAGCATATATGTGAACAGTATTTAGATAAAGGTAGATAAGTTTTTAATGCATTTATGGATTTAGAAAAGGCATATTATAGAGTGGATATGGGAGCAATGTGGCAGATGTTGCAAGTATATGGAATAGGTGGTAGGTTACTAAATGCTGTAAAGTTTTTATGAGGATAGTGAGGCTCAGGTTAGGGTGTGTAGAAGAGAGGGAGTTTATGAGGATAGTGAGGCTCAGGTTAGGGTGTGTAGAAGAGAGGGAGACTACTTCCCGGTAAAAGTAGGTCTTAGACAGGGATGTGTAATGTCGCCATTGTTGTTTAATATATTTATAGATGGGGTTGTAAAAGAAGTAAATGCTAGGGTATTCGGGAGAGGGGTGGGATTAAATTATGGGGAATCAAATACAAAATGGGAAATGACACAGTTACTTTTGCTGATGATACTGTGCTTATGGGAGATTCTAAAGAAAAATTGCAAAGGTTAGTGGATGAATTTGGGAGTGTGTGTAAAGGTAGAAAGTTGAAAGTGAACATAGAAAAGAGTAAGGTGGTGAGGGTATCAAATGGTTTAGATAAAGAAAAATTGGATATCAAATTGGGGATGAGGAATATGGAAGAAGTGAATGTTTCAGATATTTGGGAGTTGATGTATCAGCAGATGGATTTATGAAGGATGAGGTTAATCATAGAATTGATGAGAAAAAAGGTGAGTGGTATGTTGAGGTATATGTGGAGACAAAGAACATTATCTATGGAGGCAAAGAAGGGAATGTATGAAAGTATAGTGGTACCAACACTCTTATATGGGTGTGAAGCTTGGGTTGTAAATGCTGCAGCGAGGAGGCGGTTGGAGGCAGTGGAGATGTCCTAAGGGCAATGTGTGGTGTAAATATTATGCAGAAAATTCGGAGTGTGGAAATTAGGAGAAGGTGTGGAGTTAATAAAAGTATTAGTCAGAGGGCTGAAAAGGGTTGTTGAGGTGGTTTGGTCATTTAGAGAGAATGGATCAAAGTAAAATGACATGGAGAGCGTATAAATCTGTAGGGGAAGGAAGGCGGGGTAGGGGTCGTCCTTGAAAGGATTGGAGGGAGGGGGTAAAGGAGGTTGTGTGGGCGAGGGGCTTGGACTTCCAGCAAGCGTGTGTGAACGTGTTAGATAGGAGTGAATGAAGACGAATGGTATTTGGGACCTGACGAGCTGTTGGAGTGTGTGCAGGGTAATATTTAGTGAAAGGATTCAGGGAAACCGGTTATTTTTATATAGCCGGACTCGAGTCCTGGAAATGAGAAGTACAATGCCTGCACTTTAAAGGAGGGGTTTGAGATATTGGCAGTTTGGAGGGATATGTTGTGTATCTTTATATGTATATACCTCTAAACTGTTGTAGTGTGAGCACCTCTGCAAAAACAGTGATTATGTGTGAGTGAAGTGGAAGTGTTGAACGATGAAAGTATTTTCTTTTTGGGAATTTTCTTTCTTTTTGGATCACCCTGCCTCAGTGGGAGACGGCCGACTTGTCAAAAAAATTAGGTATATATATAATATATATATATATATATATATATATATATATATATTATATATATATATATATATATATATATATATATATATATATAATGCAAAACAACCACTGTGAAAGAATAGAGAAATTCCAAGAGCTTTCGTTACTATTCACATTATCAAGGAACAATGAAAGTAAAGCATCAAAGGAAGGTATATAAAGGGTCTAGCCCACACCTCACTATCAGATCCCACAACAAAAGAACACCTGACGTGCGACTCATAAGAAAGGGAACACTGCAGCAGGCCCGCCGGCCCAACTAGACAGGTCCTTCACACAACCCACCAACAAACTATTCTACCCAAGAAATAAGAATTTTAAAAATTATTATTTGTCCAATGTATTATTAAATTCTTCCCAAATTCTATTAATTATAAGTGGATCTAATTTATATAAACCTAAGGAAATATTCATATTATTGTCAAAACTGCTTTTTATGAAACAAGATTCAATTATATTCCTGTCGACCATGGACTTGCTTGATACAACTTTCTTAACTTTTTGAAAATCAATTGGATGGTTAAAATCTCTCACTTGAACAAATAGAGCATTGGAATCTTGTCCAGTTCTAATGCTATATTTATGTTGTTTTAATCTTAGTCTTAAGAAGAGAAGGCATATGAACCAAGTTTTCATGGTAAGGGAGAACCAACATGTTTTTAGTTGAATAAGGCTGGAATTTCTCTATTCGTTCACAGTGGTTGTTTTGCATATTCTGAAATCACCCGTTTACCATGATCTTATTGCATATATATATATATATATATATATATATATATATATATATATATATATATATATATATATATATATATATTTGTAGATGAATGGTTCAGAGAACCGACATGTTGATAAATTAGACACATATACAACTCTTGGGAATCTTCATTGAGGAAACGTTTCGCCACACAGTGGCTTCATCAGTCCATACGAAGGAGAATCTTGAACAGTTTACAAGCTGCTTCTCCGCTGGTATGCCGTATTCTATTCAAGATTGATGGACTGAACACATCCACTCAAGGTTGAGGAACTGATTACCTCATTCTCCTCCTGTTCTTCAAGATTCTCCTTCGTATGGACTGATGAAGCCACTGTGTGGCGAAACGTTTCCTCAATGAAGATTCCCAAGAGTTGTATATGTGTCTAATTTATCAACATGTCGGTTCTCTGAACCATTCATCTACAAATCTGTCAGACACTGCAACTTCTTGGGATCTTAATACTTAGGAATTCTTCGCTTGCCTAATTCTTGGGCACGACCTACTTCCACATTGAACAAATGTGACACGACCTATGACTGCTGCACCTCTCCGGCCATACAGTTTACAAGCTGCTTCTCCGCTGATATGCCGTATTCTATTCAAGATTGATGGACTGAACACATCGACTCAAGGTTGAGGAACTGATTACCTCATTCTCCTCCTGTTCTTCAAGATTCTCCTTCGTATGGACTGATGAAGCCACTGTGTGGCGAAACGTTTCCTCAATGAAGATTCCCAAGAGTTGTGTATATATATATATATATATATATATATATATATATATATATATATATATATATATATATATATATTGTGTGTGTGTGTGTGTGTGTGTGCGTGTGTGTGTGTGTGTATGTATGTGTGTGTGTCGTGCCGAATAGGCAGAACTTGCGATCTTGGCTTAAATAGCAACGCTCATCTTGCCATATAGGACAAGTGAAAATTTGTGTATACAATAATGTCGCCAAAATCATTCTGAACCTAACGAAAAAAATATATTTCACTGTGTTTGTTTAGTATTAAATTATTGTAAACAAATCTAAAATATATTTAGTTGGGTTAGGCTAAAATAAATTGTTCTTGTTATAATAAGGTTAGGTAAGTTTTCTAAGATTCTTTTGGTGCAAAATTAAAAATTTTTTACATTAACATTAATGAAAAAAATATATCTTTAAACGTATAAGAGAAAATTTTAGAAAGGACTTAATTTTAAATGAGTTCTTGCTAATTGACCAGTTTTATATATTCGGCACGACATAATATATATATATATATATATATATATATATATATATATATATATATATGTATATGTATATATATATGTATATATATATATATATATATATATATATATATATATATATATATATATATATATATATATATATATATATATATATATATATATATATATATGCAATAAGATCACAGTAAACAGGTGATTTCAGAATATGCAAAACAACCACTCTGAAAGAATAGAGAAATTCCAAGCGCTTTCGTGACTACTCACATTATCAAGGAACTATGAAAGTAAAGCATCCAAAGAATCTATATAAGGGGTCTGGCCGGCACCTCACTATCAGATCCCACAACGGTTTAAATACCTGACGCGCGCCGACCCAACTTGGATAGGTCCTTGGCACAACTCATATATATATATGTATATATATGTGTATATATATATATATATATATATATATATATATATATATATATATATAAAATATATATATATATATATATATATATATATATATGTATGTATGTATAAACATTGTCTCTACGTCCACAGCAGGACCTGCAAACTCATTATCAGAGTAACCAGTACTTTACCACGGAGCTAGACCTAAGATCAGTATGGGCGTCCAGCCGGAGCCAGATGTTGTTTCCCCATACCCCCGGGCACCAAGCTGGTTTTGAAAGTTATTTCATCGAATGACGAGATTATACTTTGGGGTCAACTTACAACACCTGACTTTTTTATGATGTAGGTAGGTAGTCAAAGACCCATCAAACTCAACTTATATTCAAGAAATGAGTCCTTATGTCCATTTTTTGGTTGATTTGAATGGAGTGTAGATTGTGAGGTCTCAGAGAAAAAGGCTGGATACCGTGCTTTTTTTTTGTGTGTAAAGGGGCTACTGAAGAAATGTACGTAGCTGGGTGGGCTTGGGGATTTTCTTTATATGAAGACTGTAAGTTGGCTGTTTTCTCTGGCGACGTGTGTATACATTCTGCTTTGAAGTGTATGGATGGGACAGGTTGATTTGAGTTTCTGGAAAAAGGTACCGAAGGGGACCCAGTTGGTGTCTTACGTACTGTCGACATACTCAAATCACGGATGTATTTGGCCTTGGTAGGAGTGTTTCGTAGAGGTTGGCAAGTTATGGTGATACGAGGCTGTCCATACTGCATCCAGAATTTTGCTTGTATCCACCCTTCTTATTCCTCGTTTGTTATATGACACTGAAGATTTAGCGTTTACCTATGAATATAAAAAATGATGTCATTGCATTTGTAGCTTCCATTTATTTATTTTTTTTTGGTCCATGTAAACTCCAGGCTCCTTTTCTTACTGTCATATCGAAGTGTCTGGGTATATATTACGTCATAATAATGTTTCACCCTGTTTCTCATCTCCAGTGAAAATTAAAATTATAAGGTCCTTTATTTGTACTACATTTCATACATCATTAGGCTTCTTATACTTGATAAAGCCCAGTGATGGGTGAACCGTATTTACAAATCAAGAACTTCACTGCACTTGTCTTTTTTACCAACGTGAGCAGCTTGCCAGTATCTCTCCCTACTATCCCTGCTCCCCCATTACCCTGCTATTTCAGCAGTGTTCGTGGGGAGGGGAAGAGAGGCAACGACTAAAAGGAATAAATTCATAAAATTTATAATGTATTGGGACCAATTGGTCAATCAATTCTATTTCCAATAAAAAGACACATTCAAACATGTATACTACATATTCAAAAATTAAAGCTAATCCCTATTTCGCAATGACGCAGTGAGTATTAATTAAAACTTAAAGTAGTTAACATTAAAAGCCTCCTGTATAATTTCCCCCGAGGTTCTATAGGTGCCCCGGCGGCCTTAAAACTCCAACCAAACAAAAATGAGGGAGATGAGTTTCAAGGTGGTTTTTGGAATAATTGCGATATAAATAATTTTTACGAAGTTGGTGCCGTGAGGAGCTGGGCGAGGATCACCGGTTGGACTTAAGAACAAAGAAAAAGTGACAAGAGAATCACCAGGGTAATGTTCATAGCTCAACCAAGTGATGTCATTTGGTTCGATATGTAGTTTTGTGTTTATAGAATGAGAGAAGAAACCAGCATCACAACACAATCAGAAACACTCCAAACTGACGGAAGAAATGAAATCAAGTAAAACCTCACAGGGACCACATTCCTAGACTAGAAGAACGCGGTGCAGTACTTACGGCACAAGGAATTTGATAGGCCAGGTTAGGAAGCTGTATCTGTCTGAATCTGCATAGGCCTCGCAGATGGTCAGCTTGGCACAACTTCTTGTGTCCACGACACTGGGTAGTAATGACAACGACTCCGTAACCAAACTAGTCAGCGTTGACTCATAAAAGTTGTTTACTTCAGATCTGCCTGAAAAGGAGCCCCCCTGAGTGGTGGTGAAAACGGACAAAGCCAGACCGCCCAGCAGGAAGAGCACAATGTAGGAAAGGGCGCCAAAGGACTGCAAACTGAGTGCATTGGTTGTGTAGTCCCTCGCACCAGGCAAGGTAAACGAGAAGATCGGGATGGTGACGGATACTGAGGTGTTGAAAGCCGTCGATTGGTCGTAGTTAAGGAAGAACCTGCCTTCCTGACCCTCCGGCGGCTCCTCGTAAAGATCCTTGATTGTGTCTTCCATACTGCCGGCAACCTCCATCACCATACTCGTCACTGCCGCTGTCACCAACGCGCACCACGCCATCACGCCTGCAATACAACAAGTGGGTCAGTATACGGGTACTATATCACGCCAGCAGCATGCAATATCTGAGACATTGCATGAGTCATTACACGAGCATTTAAACAAGAAAGCGTATACTTTTGCTGAGACTGTGTGCCTCAGTGTGTGTTTAAGCAACATCTCTCGGCTACCATCCATATTAGCTCTATCGTTTCGTAGTTGCTTAATTAACACTTAAATTTTTTACTCTGCATTTATCCTTCCAGGGAGATGACTTGAACTTATACTCCCTTCGATTGAACCAGAAAGGTGACGCCTCTAATCGTTTCAACTAACAACCTAGTGTACTCACAGGTTTCGGGATATATGTTTTATAATTTTCTTTAACCTCGATGGCCATCTTCCGCCAAGGCAGGATGACCTAAAGAAGAAAACACATTCACCATCATTCATTCAGACTGTCTTTCCTGATCTGTGCTAACATCACAATTCAGATTACCCTCCGACTGCAACTTCCGCACAACTACAGATTCTCTGATCATCGTGCTAGGTCAGCCTCGCTTCCAAACTTCTATGACTCGTTCGTCATCGACTTGGAGGCTACCAAAGATTCTGAATATGTAGCACAAACTACCAGCCTTCGACTGTCCATCTTGTCTCTGCACAAAAAAATTGAGTTTCCGCTATAATAGATTTACCTGCGCTTTTGCAGCTGAATCAGTTCTGCCTCAATCACTTGTGGTGATCTACCGTTGTCGTGACTGTCACGAAGGATGTCGAGTCCATTTCGCCTTCCACTGACTGAAGATAGAGACTTCACACTACTTCACACTACTTCCACTGACGGAAGACTGATCCCCAACATTCCTTC